GTGTATAGCATACTATATTCATTCGTTTTGGACTGTGGCTTAGTCCCTTTATTAATCAGGGGTCACCACAGCGGAATGAACCGCCAACTTATCCAGCATGTTTTTACACAGCGAGATGCACTTCCAGCCACAACCCGTCTCTAGGAGATGTCCACACATACTCATTCACACACTACGGACAATTTAGCCTACCCAATTCACCTGTAGCGCATGTCTTTGGACTGTGTAGGAAACCAGAGCACCTGGAGGAAACCCACGCGAACGCAGGGAGAACATGCAAACTCCACGCAACTGACCCAGCCAAGGCTCGAACCAGCAACCCAGCGACATTCTTGCTATGAGGCGACAGCACTACCTACTGCTCCACTGCGTCGCCCTAGCATACTAGAGTGTATTTTACTGTACAGTATTTTGCAACTCTTTGTTAATGACTGCTCCAGCATACTGTAGTATGAAATATAGTAAACTGATAAATGTATTGTAGTATAATATCCAAATGTATTGTAGTATAATATACTCTATAGTTGTAGAAAACTACAGTATTGGGTCATTTTTTATATTACTATATTTGTTGTGTTACCATGGCAACTATAGAATCTCCACAACAGATTATTTTATGTTATAGGTAGGCCCACACGGAATCTGCGCGCGCAGAATTCCGCAGATTTCTGCCGATTTTTAGAACATCATTAATTCTGTTTATTTACTTGAGCAAATGTGTAAATCTGAATTTATTCAGTTTTTATTCAGTTATTATTTCATATATTAAGGTTTTAGTTATGATACTCACTGGATACTCCCAAAATAATTCCGCAGAAATCTGCCGATTTTTACCAAAATTCTCCGCAGAAATAGCAAAAAATGTCCGCAGATTCCATCTGGCCCTAGTTATAGGTGTTGTGTTAACGTAACAACTATAGAATCAGCATGACAGATTTATTTGTTTATATTATAGTTGTTGTGTTACCATGGCAACTATAGAATCACCACAGCAGATTATTGTTTATATTAGTATAATTGTTGTGTTACCATAGCAACTATAGAATCATCACAACAGATTAATGTGTTTATATTATAGTTGTGTTACCATGGCAACTATAGAATCACCACAACAGATTACTGTTTAAATTAATATAGTTGTTACAATGAAGGCGAGGCGGTGGCGCAGTAGGTAGTGCTGTCGCCTCACAGCAAGAAGGTTGAATCGCTGGTTCGAACCTCGGCTCAGTTGGCGTTTCTGTGTGGAGTTTGCATGTTCTCCCTGGCTTCGCGTGGGTTTCCTCCGGGTGCACCGGTTTCCCCCAAAGTCCAAAGACATGCGGTACAGGTGAATTGGGTTGGCTAAATTGTCCGTAGTGTATGAGTGTGTGTGTGAATATGTGTGTGGATGTTTCCCGGAGATGGGTTGCGGCTGGAAGGGCATCCGCTGCGTAAAAACTTGCTGGATAAGTTGGCGGTTCATTCTGCTGTGGCGACCCCAGATTAGTAAAGGGACTAAGCCGACAAGAAAATGAATGAATGAATGTTGTTACCATGGCAACTACAGAATCGCAACAGATTAATTTGTTTATATTAAAGTTGTTGTGTTACCATGGCAACTATAGTCACCACAGCAGATTATTGTTTATATTAGTTTAATTGTTGTTACCAAGGCAACTATAGAATCGCAACAGATTAATTTGTTTATATTACTATAGTTGTTGTTTTACCATAGCAACTAGAATCACCACAACAGATGATTTTATGTTATAGGTGTTGTGTTACCATAGCAACTATAGAATTACCTCAACAGATTAATTTGTTTATATTAGTATAGTTGTTGTGTTACCACAGCAACTATAGAATCACCACAACTAATTAAATTGTTTATTTTACAGCTTTTGTTACCATGGCAACTATAGAATCACCACAGCAGATTAATTTGTTTATGTTATAATTGTTGTGTTACCATAGCAACTATAGAATCACCACAGCAGATTATTGTTTATATTAGTATAATTGTTGTGTTACTATGGCAACTATAGAATAGGAACAGATTAATTTGTTTATATTAGTATGGTTGTTGTGTTACCATAGCAACTATAGAATCACCTCAACAGATTAATTTGTTTATATTACTATAGTTTTTGTGTTCATTTTGTGTAAATTTATTTGTATCACATTTTTGTATTTAATGTTGTATGGTTATTACATTTATGAATTCATTGTTTAACTACATACACTCTTAAAATGCTGGGTTGTTGAATTTTGTTGGGTCAAATATGACTGTTGGATAAAAAGGTTGAATTTAAATTAAACTGAAAAATATTACAACAACCCAGTGTTTTGTATGTGCTAATGTTTATTTATCATAATAAACAATGTTTAAATGTTTTAAAATGTTATTATTTACATTATTTAATTTAGATGTTTACATTATTTATTAGAGCTTATTTTTATCACTTCACATTTTTATGCATTTTCTCCAAACATTTTCACTGACTCTCAAGCACTCTTTTGCAGCACCTTGTAAAAAATGTAATTCATAAGAGCAAATAAAAATATCAATGACCAAAGGCATTAGAACAACTCAAAACATTTGACATCTGTGCAGATGAAGTAAAATTAGCTAAGTAAATATGCCTAAATATCATTCTAGCACATTGGTTTGAGAGTACTGACCTTTCTTTTGACCTCTGACCCTGGGCTCTGTCCTTGTCTTTGCTCATTGTATCGCTTTGACCCTTTAACCTGCGGCTGCTGCAACCTGTTCACAATCATGCGCGCTCCTCCAGTCACATGACCGCGCTCCATCCCGAGACTCGAGTTTGAACAACAACAAAAAAAAAAAATCTCAAAGCACAACTCTGACCCTTGAACTCACTGAATTATGCATGAGAAGCGGAGTTGCTGCTGGAAGTGCAATCGCGGGTATACTAACAATCTTGATACCAGTTTCTGTAAACACTAGCTGTATTATTATGTATTATTAATGCATAATATTATTTGTATTAATGCCATTAGTATTACTATGCACGTGTATTATTTAATATATTTTTAAAACAAACATTTTTTATATTACTCACAGTGCTTTCATACCACTAATTGTGATTAATTGCATCCAAAATAAAGGTTTGTATTTACATGTGCATGCATATTTAAAGGGCTGCACAGTGGTGCTAGGTAGCACTGTCGCCACACATCAAGAAGGTCGCTGGTTTGAATCCTTTCTGGGTCATTTGGCATTTCTGTGTGGAGTTTGCTCTCCCTGTCTTGGCGTGGGTTTCCTCTGGGTGCTCTGGTTTCCCCCACAGTCCAAACACATGCGCTATAGGGGAATTGAAGTAAATTGGCTGTAGTGTATGAGTGCGAATACAAGACTGTATGGGTGTTTCCCAGTAATGGGTTGCAGCTAGAAGGGCATCCACTGCGAAAAAAACATAAGTTGGCTGGAAAAATTGGTAGTTCATTCCGCTGTGGCGAGCCCAGATTAAAAAAGGGAATAAGCTGAAAAGAAAATGAATGAATGAATAATTAAATACAAATATGAAACACATAAACTTTTCAGATATCATCTTTATTTTTAGATATTATTTGTATCGGAGATAAATATATCTTTCTTGTCTAAATATATATATATTTATAAATAATATATATAAAAAATACACTTTAAAAACTGCTGGGTTGTCATAAACTAGTGTTGGGTCAAATATGGACAAACATAACATTTTGTTAATTTTTCATTTAAATTAAAATGAAAATGAAATAATCCACATAACCCAAATTTGGGTATCAATAACCCAATAGAGTGCATTATTCATTAGTTTTTCTTCGGCTTAGTCCCTTTATTCATCAGGGATTGCCACAGAGGAATGAACCGCCAAATATTCCAGCATATGCTTTACACAGTGGATGCCCTTCCAGCTGCAACCCAGTACTAGTGTAACCCCGTCGGTCCAACACCACCCAACCCGCTCTGAGCTGGTATCAAACCGGAGACCTTCCGCATGAAAGACGGTTGCTCTAACAAGGAGGCTAAAGACCGTGACCTGTAGCGTTTGTTGCTAGAGCACCTTTAGAGGTCAGAGGAGTGAGGTTTACCTGCACAGCACTTATTAGCTGGCCTCCGTTACACTAGGAAACAACCATACACACTTATTCACACACACACATATTTGTTCTTGTGAAAAGTTGGGACATTACATAGGCTTCCATTCATTTTATACTGTCCAAACCGTATATTATATTGCCCTCACCCCACCCCTAAACCCAACCATCACAGGAGACTGTGTGCAGCTTTACTCTCTGATTAAACTCATCCTGTGGGATTTATAAGCATTTTGAGAAATGAGGACGTCACCGATGTCCTCATATTTCACCTCCTTTTTGTAATACCTGTGTCATACCCATGTCATTATACAGATTTGTGTCCTGATATATGTCACAAAAACACGTACACACACACACACACACACACACACACACACACACACACACACACACACACACACACACACACACTATGGCCAATTTAGTTCAATTCCCCTATAAAGCATGTGTTTGGACTGTGGGGGAAACCCACGCCAACACGGGGAGAACATGCAAACTCCACAAAGAAATGTCAACTTAAACCAACTTAACCACTAAGCCACCGTGCCGCCTAAAGTGAAAATAAATATACTAATAGCTTTCTTTTGACACTAGGCGGCGCGCGGTATATTTTCCCACACGTGTGTGCTCATCTTCAGATTAAACCTGCTCTACTTGCAAAAACTGATCAAGATTTGATAGCAGGCAGAACCAATCAAGCACAAAGGCAATGGTAAAGATATAAAAGCACAACCAACCTTCAATCACATTCATCCAATCCGGAGAGAAGCAATACAAAAGCATTAAAGTCTCATGTGTGTCATGAGAAAGCCTCTGGAACTGCATCCTGAAGGATATGTGAGCTAAATGACCAATCAAACGAGCTTCCGAGCTTAAAGGAGCCGCCCACTTCTGCGCTTTACTACCTGATGGGCTCCATTATAACACACACACACACCATTCAAAAGACCACCAGTGAAGCGCGCGCGTGAGAAGAACACAGAGTAAAAGTGCGGTCATGTACATCTCCATCATGCCGAAAAGAGTTGAGTTTTCACGGATGCTCCAAATAAATCTGTTATAGTCAGCAATCCTCCACTCATGCTCCTGTCAATCATGCCGACAGCGCGGTATCTGTACTCCCATTGGATCTGATTCATCTGGGGTTTCCGATCGTCCCTTTTACGCACGGAGTTGCTTCAAATCGCGCGTTTAGGGAAATGCGTGGATAAAACCGGCTTTCTTGGTTAATTCGCGTAAAAGATTCCAGCCATGGCCATGGTGGTGAGCGCGTGGAGAGATCCGCAGGAGGAGCTGGCAGCGGTGGATGATCAGAGCGCGGCCGGGAGAGAGCACCTCCAGCACCGGCACTCGCCGAAGTCCGCGGAGGAAAAAGCGCAGATCGCGGCGCAAAACCAGCAGCACGTCGAGTGTGTGGTGTGCGGGGATAAATCCAGCGGGAAGCACTACGGACAGTTCACCTGCGAGGGATGCAAAAGTTTCTTCAAGCGAAGTGTCCGGCGGAATTTATCGTACACGTGCCGCGCCAACAGAAACTGCCCGGTGGATCAGCACCACCGCAACCAGTGCCAGTACTGCCGCCTGAAGAAGTGCCTGAAAGTGGGCATGAGACGCGAAGGTGAGTACATCTTGTGTGGGGGAAATCTGCATTTATGCAACCTGCGATAATTACTGATTGTGTCATAAAATGGTAGAAATAAATAAAAATAAGCGGATGATTTTCAATCAATATTTACAATGATTTATTTGCAAACATTTTAATTTTTAAATACCTAAACTTATTCATCATACTTGGAAAAAAATATTATAGTAATTTGTAGTTAGTCTTTTGAATTATGGGAAAGTACTTGAATTAATAAGGTTTGGTTGTTCTATAGTTGGTTACAACAACTGTTGTAAAATAAACAAGACAATGCTGTATTTTTTTTAGAAATATAAAAAAATATTGTACTAGCAAAAAAAATTACATTAGTAAACACTGATATTATGTATTTAATTATTCTATACTCAATTCTATGCTGCAGTCAGGGGCGGATTTAACCAATAAGCGAGGTAAGCAGCAGCTTAGGGCCCAAGGAAATCTGGGAGCCCCCAATAAATATCTAAAGTTAAAAATTATACCTATAAACTAAATATAACGTTGTTTTCTACCATATTTTTTATGTTGAGAGTAAACTAATACAATTATAACGTAATTAAATATTTAGTATACAATCAAATATACGTTAATAGTATTATATTAATGTATTGTTATGTAATAATAATAATATTACCAAATAAAATATCCATCATGGAGCAAAATTTATATTTAAAAAATATTATTTTTAGTTGTAAATTCATTTTAAGAAAATTAATCACTTATAATGGCATTGCATTAATTTAAAATGTCGAAAAAAATTATTGAGAGGAATAAAAAAAAAAAACAGCAATATAAATAAAAAATTAAATAAAAGCAGAGAGGGTGCATTTCAGGACTTTAGCCCATGCTGGAATTGCTTTGGGCCTCAAAATCACTAAATCCCCCCTGGCTGCAGCATACATTTGAGTGTTGTAAATACTATAATATATGCAGCAAAATACACTTTAGTAGGTTAAATATAATACGCTATAGTAGGTTAAATTACTAGCATTTTTCATGTGTGACACATCTTATGGAACAACATTATAGCTTATACAACTTGAAGCTCAAGTCAATTAAAAAATGTATTAAAAACGTTTCTATAAAAATTATATTTTAATTATTTTCAGACAGCATTGTTGATATAAAGCATTACAGGAGCTTTCTTTCAACGTCTTGAATGATCTTATCATGTTCAACTAATTTTACACTTGCAGATAAGGTGTAAACAGAGTGATTTAGCAGATAATACTACAAGACAGTAGATAATATTGCACATTTATTAACCTTTTTGATATTTAATAATAAGTTTAAATGTTCAGATAATGCATCAAACATTATAAGAGAGCATTAGAATGCACTTCCCTTCAGTCTTGTTTTCATATAACATATTACACTTGTAATTAATGGGTAGAGACAGATAATATATGCAGATGAGAGATCAAATTAAATGTAGTCTGCATGCACATTTCTTTCAATATTTAATAACAGATTTCATAGATAGATAGATAGATAGATAGATAGATAGATAGATAGATAGATAGATAGATAGATAGATAGATAGATAGATAGATAGATAGATAGAGTAAATTTTGTTTGTATTGTCTTTTCAATAATTAATATCATATTTCGTGTAAAAATGCATTCTTTCGTCTTTGTTTTCAGAAACTTGCAATTAAGACAGACAGACAGACAGACAGACAGACAGACAGACAGACAGACAGACAGACAGACAGACAGACAGACAGACAGACAGACAGACAGACAGACAGACAGACAGACAGACAGACAGACAGACAGACAGACAGACAGATAGATAGATAGATAGATAGATAGATAGATAGATAGATAGATAGATAGATAGATAGATATTGTTTGTATATGTATGCACATTTCTTCTCCATCTCTCTGTGTTCTGATAGCGGTTCAGCGAGGCAGAATGCCACCGAACCAGCCGAACCCGAGCCATTACGCGCTGACCAACGGAGATCACCTGAACGGCCAGTGCTATTTATCCGGATACATATCGCTTCTCCTCCGGGCCGAGCCCTATCCAGCCTCGAGATACGGCAACCAGTGCATGCAGTCCGGCAACATCATGGGCATAGAGAACATCTGCGAGCTGGCGGCCCGTCTGCTCTTCAGCGCGGTGGAGTGGGCCAGGAACATCCCGTTCTTCCCCGATCTGCAAATCACGGATCAGGTGTCTCTGCTCAGACTCACCTGGAGCGAGTTGTTCGTGCTGAACGCCGCGCAGAGCTCTATGCCGCTGCACGTGGCCCCTCTGCTGGCCGCCGCAGGCCTGCACGCGTCGCCGATGTCCGCGGACCGAGTCGTGGCCTTCATGGATCATATTCGCTTCTTCCAGGAGCAGGTGGAGAAACTGAAGGCCCTGCAGGTGGACTCCGCCGAATACAGCTGTGCCAAAGCCATAGTGCTGTTCACCTCAGGTAGGCCCGAGCTGTTGCAGATTCAGGGGGTAGTTCACTCAAATGTAAACTGCTGTCATTTAGACTATGCACCATTGACTTGTTATTGAGGTAAAGTTGGTTTTATATTCGCACATTCAGTCTTTCTCATTAATAATATAATCTCAAAAAATTTTAATTAAAAATGTAATTAAAATGTTTAATTTAATTAATTAAATACAATTTTTTAATCAATTGCAAATTCTAAATAGTGAAATCATATTAGCAGCCAGCAACCATCAAAGTCCCACAGTGTTCATAGTCAAATAAATAGTGCTTTCAGTCCGGATATTTAAAGCACAATGGTAAACAATGTATGGAGCAGTCAATGAACGAATGTGCGAATATAAAACCAACTTCACCTCAACTGACTTGTTTTGAAACCGGTTTGAGTTTCTTTACTCTGTTGAACACAAAAAGACATTTTGAATAACGTTGGAAGCCTCTAACAAGCGCTAGTTCACTCAAATTTAAATTAAATTATTATTTAAAGTAGTCTACAGTATACGCACCCTTGACTTTTTCCAAACCGGCTTGAGTTTCTTTATTCTGTTGAACACAAAAGAAGATATTTTGAGTAATGAAGCTTCTAACTTGAGGGGTGCCCGAAGGGGTGTCCTGCAGAGTTTAGCTTATAGGGGAATTACCAACCTACACATGACGTCACATGGATTCAACTGTGCATACTGGTTGCAAAACAAAAAAGACCGGTTGCAATAGCAAACATGTTGTGTTGTGCCAAATCGAAAGTCCAAAAATAGAAAGCGTAACTTTTACCGTACACCACACTGCTTTTAATGGCAACCGCAGACGTCTTTAGCTAACAGCCATCAGAAGAGCTGAATGGAGTGAGGACCTGATTAAAAATGCTGGACTCTGCAGTTCTCATGTTATATCAGGTAAGTTCACGCTATGCTGAATCACACACATCACTCGATTTTGATTTCAGCAATGATTTCAGCAAAAACAGTTCAATATGGTGAATTAAACTGTGGACACTTAATGCTCAGAATGAAATGTAAAAATATAAGTTCACACACCCTGCCGTACAGGTGCAGTTGGCTGTCAGAATGAAGTTGTTTTGCTTGCTGATGATGACACAGGGCTTGTACAGCTCTGTCTTCTTTCCTTGTTTTTGGCTTGGCAGAACCTCGGATTTTAGCACTACAAAGTTTTGAAGCATTATTTCTTGCACATGACCACAAAGAACAACATTGTTGGCATCCAAAGACTTGTAGGCCTTTAACTTCTCTCTTGTATAATCTCTTGGAGTTTCAGTGAGATTGTATATTTGGGGCTGGATGCTTGGTCATTTCGTCTTATCCAATATCCATTGGGAGGGTGCCATCGCAAATGGACCTGTCAGATGAACGCTGCTCACTTTAACATTAATTCTGCTGATTAACTGGGTGCATTTTATATTCGCACATCAGTACATTTTCTTTATAATTATATAATTTCAGAATAATCAGTATTATTTGCAAATTCTAAACAGGGAAACAATCTTGGCAGCCAATGACTATCAAAGTGCACTATTGATTAAATCACACTGAACTGAGCTAAACTGAACTGAACTTAAGCACTAAAAACTGCACCACACTGTTCCAGTTACTGTGACCATTTATGTGAAGCTGCTTTGACACAATCTACATTGTAAAAGCGCTATACAAATAAAGCTGAATTGAATTGAATTATTGTTCACAGTCAATTAAATAGTTATGTTGTTTTGAAGTCACATTTACATGCAAATTCAGGCAGAGTATTCAAAATATTGTGATGAACAATATAAGGACTGTGTCACTGTTCAAAACTGAATGAATGTGCGAATATAAAACTAATTTCACCTCAATAAAAGTTCGATTTATATCCACACGTTCATTAACAGTCATGATATTATTAAGGGGAATGTGTGAATATAAAACCAACCTTTCCCCAATGTTTAGCTCCAACTCCCTTTAACACACCTCCTTGAAAACTACAGCTAAAGCTTGATTAGCTGATTCATGTGTGTCTAACTGGGGTTGGAACTAAACTCTGCAGGACATCCAGCACCGAGGCTGATTTAAGGGATAGTTCCCTCAAATAGGGTATATGCCGAGCTAGTGTTTTTCCCATACTGATAAACTTCCGGTGACCTGTTATTGTGAACTTTTTTCCATTTTATACGGTTCCTTTTACAGCATCGATGTTGTAATGTCATTAAAATACATTCAGTTAAATAAACTTTAGCATTTATTTAGTTGCTCAAGCGTAAAACAAGTCAAAAAGTTGTTTACTCGCACGCGCCCGTCAGAATCGGCAGGCTAACGCAGAAGCTTCTTTGAATATACTGGGGTAAAATAAATGCTCATATTATAAAGACATGGTGGGGGAAATGTAATTTAATGCAGTGCTTCTTGTACAATCTGACACCCACTTTAAATCGGATATCACTCAGCTAGTAGAGATCGCTGATTTTTAAAGAAAACAGACCTTAAACGCACCGGATTTTGCATTGGCATTCAATTCGCCGGAAGCGCTTAACCCAGGTTACTGGCAAATTAAAAGTCCCATTAGCATGCTTCGGCATATACCCCATTTAAAGCCTGTTGTCATTTATAATATACTTTGCACACTTGATTTATTCCAAAAAACTTTAGGTTGGTTTATTCTGTTGGTACAAATGAAGATGTTTTTCACCTTTTATTAGGAGATAGTGGAGGACAGAGAGGAAAGCATTGGAAACAGAGAGAGAGGAAGGGATCCGCATATGACCTTGAGCCAGGAATTGAACTCAGGTCGCCATGAGCACCACAGTGCTAAGGTGCACTTAACCACGCGCAACTAAGAGAGAATATTTTGAGTAATGTTGGTAACCTCTAATCCACGGGTTCTAGAGGGCTGGTGTCCTGTAGAGTTTTGCTCCAATTGCCTCCACACACCTGCTTTGCAGTGTCTAGTATACCTAAACAGCTTGATCCGCTAATTCAGGTGTGTCTAACTGGGGTTGAACTAAACTCTGTAGGACAGGGGTGTCCAAACTTGGTCCTGGAGGGCCGGTGTTCTGCATATTTTAGTTCCAACCCAATTAAACACACCTAAACCAGCTAATCAAGCTCTTTCAATGTACTAGAAACTTCCAGGGAAGTGTGTTGAAGCAAGTTGGAGCTAAACTATGCTGGACACCGGGCCTCCAGGACTGTGTTTGGACTACCCTGCTGAAGGACATTGACCCTCCAGGACCAAGTTTGGGCACCCCTGCTCTAAACAATGACATCTTCAGGGGAAACACTAATAATGGGGTGTCATTGACTTCTATAGGATTTGGTTTTCTTCTATAGATGTGTTATCATTGGCTTCCAAAATGCTGTAAAATATTTTCTTTTGTGTTCAACAGAATTAAGAACATGGTTTGGAACAACCCTGCAAGCATTTGTGTGTCCGTGCATGCGTGTGTTTAAAAGAAGTCTAATAGACATCCAAAGATAGACAGCTTGGCTAAAGCAAGGCTAAATCTGGGCTGTCAGTGAAGATCTAATAAACATATAAACCAGACTAGTCATTAAATAAACGAATGAATGTCTATACATGGGATTTATGTCAGATCTGTGTTTTTAGTAATAGTTTTAAGATATGCTTAAACATTTATTAGATTTATTTATTTTATTAGCCTTGTTTTAGCTAAGCTGTCTGTATTTAGATTTAGATCCATTAGACTCTATTAGGTCTATTAGATCTGTTAAACTTACTTGGTGGGAAATCAAAGGTGAGTAAATTGTGACAGAGACTTCTTTTGGTGAACTAATTAACAAGCTATTCTGCAACTAATTTACAACAGGAAGTAAATGTGCTAGACCTCCGATTGATTAGCTGCTTTTATGAAAATCAAGAACAACTAATTACTGTAAACTGGCTAAGCTGTTTGCAATAGAAATCATCATATTTATTATTTTCATAATGCATGCAAACGCAACACGTTACACCAGCATAAAAAATAAATGGACGTGAATGAGACCGGAAGTCTCCAACGATCAAGTAGCCGCGCCCACTCTTCAGATAAAAACAACGTGGTTAAAATGATCCTATTTGTTCCGCGATGTTTGTTTTGAACAATGAACCAATAATCTGTCAAGTGCCATCTGTGCACAACAGATTAAATATGTGTAGGGGTTTTAAATGGTTTCAGGTTAATCTTGTAAAATGGCATCATAGGGCTACTTAATAAACCAATATTAGCATAAAAATAAACTGAATCATTGAATTAAGTTGTTTGATAAGTGCACGTGTCTTATTTTAATTATCGTGTTTTAGTTTTAAACCTGTTTAAAACCTTTAGGTTACCATTAAAAATTAGGGCAAATTTATTTAAATTAAAGATCAAAACTTTTGATTAACATTTAAATGACGCTTATATATTTTGATAAATTAGTAGTATGTTTTTCTAACAACATTTAAGTAACCAAAGTTTGATTCAAAGTTTTTATGAGGTATGCTAACATATTTGAGGTGGTTACAATAGCAACAGGCTCTTCTAGTGCTTTTTAAACTAGGTCATTGTATAAATTAGCTATATACTTCAATAAGTTGTACTTTTCATTGTATCATAAATAAATATATCGCGAAATAATTTGGGGTCTTTTTAAATATTAAGCTGGCATTTGCTAGCAGTGCCATTTTTTTCTGAGTAAATGTTAGATTATATCTTCAAAATATAATTAAAGTCCCACGGTGGTCAAACTTTCTAAACTGTCTCGCTAGTGTAATGACAGAAAAAAAGGGTTTTAAAAACATTACAGGCTGTTCTGCATATTTAAATGGAGTGCTGTGCATTTCAATGAATTCTCGTTGGTTCTACCTTTCCTAAGCTTTTATAAACAACTTAGCTTTTAATTCGTTCGGTTAATTCATTGTGTCCATACACAGGCTATCCTCCATCTCATCGTAATTAGCCTAATTGGAAATTAATGCACAAGGTAAATGTGTTTAACGTGGCTAATTAATGCAAATGGAAGTAGGCCGATGCTTTAAAATTTAATTGAATTATACTTTTTTTAGAAAATACATTTCAAATGCTTAAAATAATATTACCCTATATTTCTTACTTAAATATTACAGTCACCAGAGGTTTTTGTGCAGTTTTATAGACATTTTTAAATATGCAAGTTTAACCCTATAAGTTCAAGTCAATTTTGACCCAACAATACAAATATTTTTACACCACAAAAACTACACACTTTAACAAACACACACTTACACGCACACACTCACTTACACGCACTTTACTAAACTTGTTAAAAAGGTTGTAAACAATTTATTTTATGGGCTAAATTTAAACAAACAAATAAAGTTGAACATTACAACATTTAAGTTGTTTGTTTACATTCAACACATTTAAATTATTTGCAAGAATTTTGCAGGCATCATTTTTTCAGTGTGCTTAAAACAACACAATTCTTGATTTTTGTTCGGGATAAAGCCTAATTGTTTTATGTTCAATCCACTTAAATTTGTAAGAACGAATGAGTTAACGCAATTCCTTCATGTCGTCCCAACACAAATCGATTGTGTGGTATAGCAGTTTAGCATAAAAACACACCCTCCAATGTAGTCAGAAACGAGTGTTGTCCACTGAGTAAACACCGATGAGGGAACACCTGCACATTCACAGTTTGTGAAGATGAGCTTGCTTCTTCATGCAAAATAGATTTAGCTTTAGAGTAAAGTCGGGTCTTTTTTACCCGACGCAGAGCAAACGGTGTATTTATACAGAATAATACAACCGTATTAGCATTAAAATACACCCTTAGTCAAAAATGAGTGTTGGCTACTGATGACATTTCATAGATTCATATAGGCCTACTTTGTGATGAAGATAAGCTTGTTTCTTCTTGCAAAACAGATTTGAAATTAAAGTGTGCACCTTTATTTTAGAGGTTTAATCAAGGCGGTTATTTTTATGAGACAACAGTATAGGGTTAATAGCGGCATTCACGGTCTTTCTCCTTCATTTGCACATTTTAGATTTTTTTAAATTCAACTTATACCACAATTAACAAAAATACATTTTACTCAAGCTATTTTGTAAATATTTGGCTACTTCTCCATTTTGAGCACAACCTCTTTATGAATCCACACAATTTATTCAATATATTTGACATTCTTATTAAATTCGACATGCAAAATATTCTCACTTTAAATAAACTCTTAAAAGCTTGCACCACATCTCGACAAACTTCACCCTCTATCCGTTTTCTTGTTTTTTTTACACAGATGCATGCGATGCACCTTCTCACTTTAATTAAACTAAAAAACTTCACCACACATTTCGACAAACTGATTTCTTTTCGTATTATTTGCACACAGATGCATGCGGCCTTTCAGACATCCCGCACATTGAAGGTCTCCAGGAGAAATCTCAATGTGCCCTGGAGGAGTATGTGCGGAGTCAGTACCCGAACCAGCCCACCCGCTTCGGCAAACTGCTGCTCCGGCTCCCGGCGCTCCGCATGGTCTCCTCCTCCGTCATTGAACAGCTTTTCTTCGTTCGGCTGGTGGGAAAAACACCCATTGAGACGCTCATCAGGGATATGCTGCTATCTGGGAGCAGTTTCAACTGGCCCTACATGCCTATTCAATAACATTTGGTGAGCATTTACAGACTCTAAAGAAAACTAAACAGGCAAGGACGACGCAGAAAGTCGGACTCTCTTAACATCACACTGTAAAAAAATCCACGGTTTCCGTATTTTAAGTGTTTATTGCTTTTTATGGATTTGTATAAGGTCTTTGCTACCCCAGCAAGCATCTTTGTTCTTAAAAGATGTCTATAGACGTCTAAACATAGTCGTATTGGCTAAAACAAAGCTAAATTTGGGCTGTCAGACGTCCAAGAATAAGCCAAAACTAATCATCAAATAAAACCGGGATAACAGAAATAATGACTACAAATATAAAGTCTGTCTAATCTGTCTATTTGACGACTAGTCTAGTTTTGGGCTATTTTTAGATGTCTATTAGATTTTCACCGACAAGTTTAGCCTTTGTTTAAGCCAAGCTGTCTACGTTTAGATGTCTATTAGACGTCTGTTAAACACAAAATGGTTTGCTGCGACTTTTGATGTTGAAAGTTCAACCCTACAGTTCAACAAAGTGACTTTTATTGACATTTTAGTAGTTTGGAAAAAATATCTAGAAGTAATATAGAGAGAAATAATTCTGTAAAATGAAATAAAATGTACTGGCAGTAAATTAGGCTATAAGGTATTTAGCCCACCAACCCAGACAATACAGCACTGCAAACTATTAAAGAGGTTCATGAAAGTCACTTTTTGAGCTTTTGAATGTTAAAAATTGTTGGAGGAAAGATCAAGATCCCAATTCAAAAGCATAAATAAACAAGGAAAGTAAAATAAAATAAAAACATGAAACACAAAATACGAAAAACTGCTAATTTACGGATTTTCTTTTACAGTGCAGGTTACAAAAATGTGACAATGTGAATTTATCTTTGCTCTTTTTGTCCTTGCTTTTAACAGTCAATCATGATTTGTGTCTTATATAACCTTTATTTCTTCTGCATTGTAATGATCCGTTTAAAGTGTTTTAAATCAAAATGCATAATGTCTTAATTTAGTTAGTTAGTAATATGTTTTAACGGAGGGAACCAAATCACCATTATTGAAGTTTCCCTAAAGAAATACACAAGTTTTGTTTTTAACCGAAGCGGAGACAATGGATTTAACGATTATTTATTTTGCTGTATTTATTTTCCTGCTCATCGACCTCATGAACACGTGATCTAAACAATCAACACAGCACTTAAGGTTATGCATATTGGTGTATACTTTACAGTATTTTCCACTTCGATCCTGCAGGTTGATTATTTGGGGCTGTTGGATTTTATGTACGATGCAACATTTGATTAAACAATTAATCATTCCATGCGTAAATGTGATTTGTTTCTTCCTTTTGTAATAAAGTTTTCATAACTTTGAGATAAAGCCTTTCTCGTGAAGCGCTTTCACTTATTTTGTTTAAAATGTTTTGAAGAACTGAATGCAAATAATTGCATCTAAAACGATACTTACGTTTTATTACATACTGCTAATATTAATTACATGAACATTTCTTTAGACAAAAATGACGCAGTCATGCCAAAAATAATCACAAGAAGCGGATAAAAGCGGCCTTATAAAACCTTGGTATTATGTAAAAGTCACTACAATCGGTGCTTTTCAGATATCTGGGTATTGCATTCATTAAATATATCTTGAAAAAGTTTAGTTTAAATCGATCAAGAAGCAGAAATGGTAAAAGGCCATTTGTTGTTGGTCTAATACATTAAATATCCGTTGATGTTATTTATTTCTTAAATATGTGCTTAATCGATATGTATCCATGACCTTATTTCTTATGAAAAAAGATAAACAGTTATGTCAGAAATGTTTTATCTGAACAGACAAAAGGGCAGATTTTAATTGACAGGGCGATGATAACCGGGACAGGTGAGCTGTGTTGGTGTCAGTAAAGCGCGGTGACCTTATCACATCAATCAGATCAGCCTACAAATAAACGAGATTAATTGTAATTGGCTCTAAAGTTTGTGCCATTTCTTTAGTCGGTGGTTCAGGTCTTATTTGATGCAGCTTGCAAATATATGCATCTTTTGTTTATGATATTCGAATATAATTCTGAAAACTTATAGGAATTGTTTGCTTGAGACTTTTTTTCTGATCACATTTGCGTGCATTTGTTTCAAATTATTTCAAGTTGCTAATGATGATTAACACTTTTGTTTTTCTGGAAACATTAACCCACATTCAGCAACAAGAATGACAAAATCATCCGAAAATCCATCAAAATAAAATGGGAATTATGCAAATGTAGATTATCTTAGAAAGAAGTTAATCATAGAAAGACAGCATCTTTATAAATAAATTCCAGTATCTCTTTGTAAGGATTAGCCCACAATAAATCGATCAAATTTATATGACCTCTAGCTGCTCTAATTATAATGCCTCTATGAGTCTACTGGTATTATTGTATTTAAATCAAAACCACTGCTATAGTACTTGATCTTTTAAAACTTTTTTTTAGTCAAGGGCGTAGATTTGCTTTTGGTATTGGTGTGGACTTAATTCACCAAGCATGTTCTGCACTTAAAAAACGCGAAGAAATAAAATACAATTAGTAATAAAAGAGACATTAAATCAACCATGTCTTATGGTGCAAAAGTAAATTTACATGATTTTACTTTGACAAGGAGTGAATGCAGACTTGGAAAATGGGAGGCATTTTACACAATAACCTTTATAACAATTTAAGTAGGCCTATAGTAAAAATAAATAAATAAATAAATAAACCCACATTTGACCCAACCTTGGGTTAACAAAACCCATCATACAGTGAATCCTTTAAATAATTTGCGGGACATTATAGCGTTAAAAAAAACTCTGCTTTCGGCCTATGTTGTAAAATTAATCAGCCCTATAGATAAAGGATGTTAGGCTGAGGTGCTGAGGTAAAGATGGTTCAGAGATTAATAATAGCCTAAAATTTCAAAAAGATATTTTTACTCATTTTAAACAAATCATATTAGCTCCCAATAACTTTCAAAGTAGCCTACAACATTCAAAGTCAATTAAATAGTGCTAATGTTGTTTTGAAGTCATACTTTAGGCAGAAAATTCAAAGTAGCATGGTAAACAATTAGGGACCGTCACAAGTTGTAGATATGTGCGAATATAAAATCAACTGTACCTCAGGACGTTTTTAGGCCTATATAGTCCTTGCTGTCAGTGTGTTGTCAATTTAATCAGCTCCACTATATAAAGACAACACACTGGCAGCTCCCCAGGTGTAGAGCTGAAACCTGGCGTGTGTTCCTCCGTGTTTCTGACAGCCAGAGTCTCCAGTTATTGCGTCCTTCTGTGAACCCGTGACCCGCGGATCTCTCCTCATGTGTGGATCCATCCTCCCGCTCATACGTGGATCATGAACTCTTGGCATCTCCGGTGAATTTCTGACACCGTGCCCGGTTATCCGTGACCCCGCTGGTCTCTGGGGATTCGCGAGCAGAAGCGGAGCGCGGAATAAAGCACAGGCTGGTCCGCGGGGGATTCAAGATGGCCACGAGGAGTATTTTTATGTTGGAAGTATCATAGAGAACGTGCCTGGATCAAGGGTACAGCTGTTAGAGGAAACAAGTTAGTGCGGGAATGCAAACACAAGATACGTGAGAATAAAAGAGTGCTGAGGTAGCTTATTTCTGACCGCTAATGTATTATTTACAATGTATTATTTGCTGAAAAATCCAGCTTAAACCAGCCTAGGCTGGTTGGCTGGTTTTAGCTGCTCGACAAGGCTGGTTTTAGAGGGGTTTTGGCCATTTCCAGGCTGTTTCCAGCCTGGTCTTAGCTCGTCAGGCTGGGAGATGACCAGCTAAAACCAGCTTGACCAGCCTAGCCAAGCTGGGAGTCCAGCCAAAACCAGCTATATCCAGCTTAAACCAGGCTGGTCAAGCTGGTTTTAGCTGGATTTGGCTGGTAATTTTCCAGCCTGACCAGCTAAGACCAGGCTGGAAATGGCTGGAAACCAACCTGGAAATGGCCAAAACCCCTCTAAAACCAGCCTGGTCAACCAGCTAAAACCAGCCAACCAGCCTAGGCTGGTTTAAGCTGGATTTTTCAGCAGGGGTGTTATAGCTGTCAGCTAAAGGTCAGAAAGCCGGCACATAGACTGATAACATAGATTAGCATCCACGCTGAAGTTGGAAGCGCGAATTTAAAGTTTTATTTTAGAATGTCGATGCACTAATAATAATACAAATTGTGCCTTTCTTACACGCAAAGCGCACTTTTTTTAATTATGTTTTTTTAGGGGTTTTTCACCTTTTATTGGGATAGAATAGTGGAGGACAGACAGGAAAATATTAGGATCAGAGAGAGGAGAAGGGTGCGCTTAGGACCTCGAGTCTGGAATCGAACTCGGGTCGCCGGGAGCAACATGGTGCTATACGTCGGCGCACTTAACCACTAGGCTATCCGATGCAAAGTGCACTTTTAACTGAAATGGAATATTGAGTTGTGGGCGGGGATTACTCTTTAAGCATCATTCCCGCATACATATATTGCATACGGCCCTGAGCATGCGTCATACCGCCGCCATATTTCTACAGTGCTCCCAGGACAAAAGTCATACCGCACTTAGTCAAGACCAAGCTAATCTGCTGGACGTTTGCACAGCAAGAAAACGAAGCATAAAGGCATAACATAGGTTGGATTTCATTGTTTAAGATTTTATGTTGCTAAACAAGTGTTATTGATGATAATACTTTTACTGCACTGACCATGAGTCAGTAAAATTAACAGTAAAATTCAGGCAACCACTGCTGACAGTTTTGTTTTATTATAAATTTTACTGATTTTTTTTTAGTGCACCATCCAACTTAATTACAGTAGGCTACTTTATTGTGCCAAAATAGGCACATTCTGACTTTCGCATCTTTATTGTTGTCATTATAGCGATCATTCTTGGTGTCAGTGGGTTTTTAAAGGTCATGCGGGCATGTAAATGGGCAGGCTAAAAACATTGGTGTAAAACATTTTAAATGAATGAAATACAGTAATTTACCATACAAGTTTTGACATTTATTTTACGATTTAAACAGCATTTTAACAGTAAAATTCAGGCGACCACAGCTGCTAGTTTTTTTTATTGTAACTTTTATGGATTTTTTAGCGCACCATTCAACTTAAATACAGTACTTTATTGTACTGAAGTTGGCACATTCGGACTTTAGCATTTTTTTTTTGTTGTCATTTTAACCCCCATTCTTGGTTTCAATGGGTTTTTAAAGGTCATGCGGGAGTGTAAATATGGGCCGGCCAAAAACATTGGTGTAAAACATTTTAAATGAATGAAATACGGTAGTTTATCATAAAAGTTTTGAAATTTCTTCTTATGGTTTCCATATATTTTAACAGTACAACCAAAGAAACCACAGCTGTCAGTTTAGTATTGTAAACTTTACATTTTTTAGTGCACCATTCAATTTAAATACAGTACTTTTTTGTAGTGAAGCAGGCACAGTGAGCTTTTAGTGTCTTGTTGTCATTATAGCTATCATTCTTGGTGTCGATGGGTTTTTAAAGCGCATGTAAATTTGGGCAGTCCCCAAACATCAGTATATAACATATATAAGTTATGTGATAATAAAACATAAATAATAAAAAATTGTAATATCAAGGCAACCACAGCTGCCAGTTTTTATTTATTTATTATTATTAACTTAAATACAGTACTTTACTGTACTGAAGTTGGCACATTCAGACTTTAGTGTCTTTATTATTGTCATTATAGCTATCATTATTGGTGTCAATGGTTTTCTGAGTCAAGCAAGCATGTAAATATAGGATACCCCAAAACATTGATGTATAACACATTAAATTAATGAAATATGGTACCATAAAAGTTTGAGTAAACTTCTACTGTATTTTACTGTACTGTAACATCTTTATTGTTGTCACTATAGTGATCATTCTTGGTGTCAATGGGTTTTTAAAAGTCATGCGGGCTTGTAAAGGGTAACCCCAAATTGAATGAAATACGGTTGTTTACTATAAATATGTTTACATTTTTTGGTTTATACAGTATTTTAACAGTAAAATTCAGTCATCAAAGCTATCGTTGTTGGTGTTAATGGGTTTTTAAAAGTCACGCAAGAATATAAATATATTAAGCACCAAAAACATTTGTATATAACGCATTAAATAATAAAATACAGTAATTTACCATAAAAGTTTTTTAAATTATGTTTCATACTGTATTGTAATAGTAAAATTAAGGCAGTCACAGCTGCCAGTTCTTTTATTAGAACATTTTACCATTATTCTTTTACAGTGCACCCTTCAACTTAAATACAGTACTTTATTGTACTGAAGTTGGCAC